CGCGGGAGACTAGGGCTGGGCCCGGCTCCGGCGTCTTCCTGTTCACCCCGGCCCCTCAACTCGGCCCCAGAGAACGGCCGCCGCTGGCTCTGCAGCAACAGCCTCCACCAGTCCTCTGGCGGGCAAGCTAAAAGGAGAAAGGGAAGGCCACTCTTTGGCCAGCTGTCCAGCCCAAACCGCTAGGGACTCCTGGCGGAAGTAGCCGTTCGCAACGATAGTTTATTGAGGGCGGAAGCAATCGGGCTGAAAACTCGGAAGACTGAGAGGTCTGGACCGGAAGTTCGTTCTCGCGGAGGTCCGCTGGAAATGCCTCCGGATGTAAAACCGGAACGGAAGACTCTGTTCCTACAGGAATAAAATTCTTTGCTTTCACACCCTCCAGCCGCAGTTCTTAACAGACGGCGCCCGGGAAGAGGTGATGGGAAAAGGTCCCTGTCCTGTCTCCCTCACTTGAGTAGCAGCCTTTCAAGAGGCCTTAAAGCATGGGACTTTCATGCTTTCGCTGTGAAAAGAAATGAAGTGTTAATGGAGGCAGTGACCGTGGCAAGGGAGAAGCCTGGGGATAGAGTCGCTGCCCTGACGCTGTGACTTGAGGAGGAGGAGGAGGGGGAGGATGAGGGGAAGGAAAGCATCCAAATACCTGTGAGGGGCAGCTAGGTGGGTGCAGATTCGGTACACAGAGAGGAAGGGATGAGGACTAGCTGGAGGCCTCCAAAATTGGTCACCACTACGCAGCCTCCCCACCCAGGCGCCTCAGTTATGCCAGAGCTGTATGAATATAATTTCTCCTTGTTTGTTTGTCCTCCATTCTTCTCTAAACTGGAGTTGTTATCTAAAATAGGAAACAGAAGGGAAATATGTTTGAGTCCTAGCCAGCTTTTACTTCTTTAGCCTTTGAACCCCTCACCATGTGGTGTCTCAGAACTGTGAGTTGACCAAAATTTCAGTGCATCAAAGACCAGACCTCATCAAGTCAAGCCTCTTGATCTTACTTTTGTCCTTGTCCTTCCTAAAATGTTCTGCTCTTAAAGCAAAACACTGTACAAGGTTGTTACCTCTGAGAGTACAGGTTTGCTCATTTGTCTGCAAAAGAAAAATATAAGAAAAGGGAACATGAAAATAGAGTTTAACTGGAGTTTTTCATCTTTCGTCTACGTGGTTCATTATCACAGTTACCAATTGTGGAAGGGAGCATTTGCTTCCACACTGAAGACTTGGGGAGAGGTTTTTGGAGAAAGTATCACTTGAAAAGGGGACTTAAACGAATAAGTGAGGTTTATACTCAAACTGTAGTATGGCCAAGGTAGATGTCCAGTTTAATATCTACTTTAGAAAAGGGGAAATCCTTCAATAATTCCATGAATCTTTTGCTTTTAGTTTTGCTGAAAAGAGTTTATACAAAGACTATGGTGTCATTAATTTTAACGTGCCTAATATTCTGTAAAGCCATAAGCTTTTTTTTTTCCCCACAAGAGAAAATTGTCAGTATCTGCTGGATTGTTATAATGAAACACTGGAAACTATTAGATAATTGCATCTGCTGTGAGGCGAAGTTTAAAGCATGGAAAACCTTTGAGAGCTGAGGAAAACAAAAATTCAATGGTAAAATATGGAGTGTGGAGCACTTTGAGACATAAACAGTAGGTGGCGGTGGAGTTCAAGAATTGCTATGTTTCTGCTTACTCCAAAGGAGCCACAGTCAAACCTGTCCAAATTGCCTGGACACAAAGGTCTCATGGGTCCAGGTGGCATTCATGACATAAAGAACTAACTCCATGCTCTAAGGCTGTTACCACTGTTATCACCAATCTGTGAGATAAAATGGTATTCAGAGATGAATAGACTTTAAGTGTCCCCTCGGTCACTGGAGAATGGAAACGACAGACGTCACGTGAACCTCACCCTCAAGGAACGACCGCTAATTTGGGAAGGCTCACACACCCCAAAGGTCCAGTGAACAAAAGAGTATGTGCTAGCTTTCAAAGTACAGTTTCACTCTCTGGACTTTGTGTCCAGCATCTCCCGGCATATCAGTCACCAAGCTGCTGATTCTGTCTTCTGGTATACCTTTAATCCCTCTCATTCTTTGCATACCCAAGGACAAGACTTTAGTTCAGGCCACTACAATCTCTCACCTCCCTAATAAGGAATTTCTTTTTCTTTTTCTTTTTTTTTTTTTTTTTTTTTTTTTTTTTTTTTTTTTTTTTTATTTGGTACCGGGGATTCAACTTGGGTCCTTGCACTTATGAGGCAGACAAGGAATTTCTTATAACTGATCAATATTCTTCCCATGGGCTTCCCCTTCCAGCCACTTCTCTCTCTCTCTCTCTCTTCAGGCAGTGATCAGCATCTCAAGACTCATCTATCCTGCTCTCTCTGTCTTCAGAAGTCCCTCGCTCTCACCCCCGCCCCCCCCCCATAATTTTTCATGCCAGACATCATCAAACAGCTTGCAGTTTCTTCCTGAAATTTTTGCACCAGCTAGAACCTAGCTACTAAGTGAAAGTGTGGAACATGGACCAGCCAGCAGTTTTTTGTTTTTGTTTTGTTTTGTTTTGTTTTTTGCGTCCTCTGGGAATTTGATTCGAAGTTCCAAAGGTACTGGTCAGAATCTGCAATTTAACAAGATTCTTGGATGATCTGTGGGCAAAGTGAAGTTTGAAAAAGCAATGTTTGGAAGAATCTACATGTTCTTCCCTCCTGGCGTACGTGCTTCTTGCTCCCAGTGATGTTGTCAGAGACCACCATGGGGAGAGAAGACAAACTCCTGAACCCTTAGCCAGTTGCTCATTAAAAGCATGTGTTTTTCCTCTGAGGCAGCCAGGGACTTGGAAATTGTTGTTGCTAAATAGACAATAGTTACTCCTCACTTCAGCCACCAGATAATCCAATAGGTAACTAAAAGCAGAGCAATCTCTCCTTTGTTATCTTAAAACTGATCTATGCTTAGTTCTACATAAAGGATGTTAATCACTTAGAGGATTCTGGATAAAAGCTGGCAATACAAAGTTGGTTAGCCTTAAATTTATATGACCTGTTTCATCCACCTTCAAGGCTGGGGACACCAGGATAAAAGACTTACAGGGACATTCAGCTACTATTGAGTACCCAGAAGTCTCCAGCCATTACCCTGAACCTGCCATCACTGTGGACTTCATCAGAGCCTCCCCCAAACAGACTTCCCCAAGCAGAAATCATCTCATGGAGAACAAATTGCCCCTTGAGACAGTAAGAGTTTCTCCAAGGGCCAGCTTGCAAAACCAGAACTGAGGTAATGATCAACCAGACGCTGGCCCACCCCAGCCCATCCGTAAAGGCTGATGAGCCAGTCTGATCCTCTCTACCAGAGCTGTGCCCTCTTCAGCCTCTCAAGCTGAATCCCTTTCTTAGCTTCTCCTACTTTCTAACTCTGCCGAGTCTGTCTATGCCTCACAGTGTCATGGCTTGAAATTATTCCCCAGGGTGAGTGACGTCGCCAATCCCTTTTTTTTTTTTTTTTTTTTTGTACCTGGGATTGAACTCGGGTCCTTGCTCTTGCAAGGCAGGCCACCGAACTGCTGAGCTAAATCCCTGGCCCCGCCAGCTCCTCTTTGGGGGGACCTCATCGCACCCCATCCAGTGGCAGTACCTTGTCCCTTACCTATCACCCTTCAGCTTTCATCTCGGAGGTCCCTGCCTCTGGGAAGCCTTTCTGATTCTCCCTGTGTCTATGGGAACCACATCGTCTAGGCTCCAAAGCTCCACATTATAATAGCTCATAGCATTGGATGTTACTGCTTTCCAGACGATGTGCTAAGTGTTTGCATGTATTGTCTCCTGCAGTCCTTCCCACACTGCTCAAGACCAATGCTAAGGGCTGAACTGTGTCCCCCTTTCGTGAGCTGGAATCGTAACCCTAGGAGTTGTATTTGGAGATAGCATCTTTAAAGAGGCTCTAATCCAGGATAACCAGTTTCCTTCTGAGAAGGGGAGAGTGGGACAGACACGCACAGAGGGAAGACCACATGAAGATGCAGGGAGAAAGCAGCTATCCACAAGCCCAGGAGAGAAGCCCCAAGAGAAAATGACCCACTGACACCGGATCTTGAACTCCTGGTATCTAAGATTGTGAAAAACACATTTTGGTGTTTAACCTGTCCTGTCCTATTTTGTTATTATGGCCCTAGAAAACTATAGTAATACAAGTGGCTCTTACTCTCCTTTTACCAAAGAGGAAACTGAGGCACAGGGAGCTTAATAACTTTTGCAAGGTCAGATGGCTGGAAGTGGTCCAGACCCAGGCCCAAGCAGCCAAGTGCAGACTCAGTGATCTTCACCCCCACCATGGTCCACTGCTCCCCCTGTGCATCCTCAGTCCACTTTGGTTACTCTCTGATTTTGCCACTTAATGAACGGGTCTGAGAGGGCCCTTCTGTGCCTGTAAGCACTCGAGGGCAAGGACCATATCTTGGTTGCAGGTTGAGCAGCACCTCAGTGCCTGTTTTACTGACTCGCTGCCCTGTATGTATTCACTTTCCATCTTGCACCCTGGCCCTCCCAACCCCGATCAGAGTGAATTTAAATGTGACTGCAGATGCGCATGGTGGGGTCTGGCGGGAGTAGAGAAGGGTAGCGTTCACATCGCCCCGCCTGTGGTAGTCAAGTGCAAGCAGATGAGTGACTTTTCAATGGCAGTGATACCAATGAGTTCTTACATTTGGCCAGTGGACTGCGGCTTGTAAATGTTTTTGAGATACACCCTCACCTAGGACCCTCTCTGTAACCTGGAGAGGCGGAAAGCGGAGGCACTTTCTAGCTCCAAGAAGCTCATCTCTGGCACCCAGCTATGGGGCGACACCTGCAGCAACACGTCTGCGCCCAGGGCCCGGGCCCCTGCTGCCCCACTAATTTAAATCAGACTTATTTTGCCCACCTTTTGTCTGTTTAGATCCTGAGCTGTTGCT